CTAACATAATTATACTATATAGACATGGTCGCCTGACATCGAGCGTTTGGAAAATTAGGCGACCCTACTAGAGAAAGTTGACCGCTGTATATATGTATTTAGAGCAACGTAATGCAAGGTCGATAACGAATTTGCAAGCGTTCAAACATGGACATCCTAAAAAAACGTTTTCAAAATGTTTGCAAAACCTAACTTGATGAAGTAGCGAATGGAAAATATGTTTCTGTGGCCGCGCGAGGTTTTCCGGCACCGTAAGGTTTATATTAGGCATAAGAATCTTACCTGCTTGCCCATATCTGTTACAGTTTTCTGTCGTGCAGTCCATGGAAAACCGAATTTTATAATTGTGTTGGCAATTTCAAATGATAAACGGTAGCTATTTCTTCCTGTCATAAAACGAGTACCATACTTAGCGGAACTGGTTACGAGCATCGGTTTTTGTATTCCGTGTAACTGTCAGAACTGTGCAACAAGAAGCCAAATTGCCGCTTATGCTTATTTATCTATAGATTTTATGTGTAAATCAAACATATCTTAATAAAAATATATAGAGATGACCTCTTTTTTACCGGTTCGAAACGGTCAACGAAATATTTCTACTACATCTACAACAAGTGTTGGATGTTGTTTTGGTAACAAATAAATTGTTGCAAGTACTTGTCAAATGCTACAATGTCCAATTAGCTGTGCGTTACCGAGTGATATCATTATCTTGCGCACTATGGATTGCTAGCTTCGAAGGCCTACATGGCTGAATACCAAAATAGGACTGCTAATAATAATGCCTATGGGTATAATAAACACTCTTTAGAAAAATGTTGCCTTTTTATAGGGATTGCTAAAGAAAAGGATACACGATGATGACCTCAGGAACGCACGAATGCATGTGTCATGAAGCAACGAAGATCTTCGTTACATATTCCGCAATAATGCAAGCCTCAAAATAACTTCAGGGTAAGGAAGTGAAAAGAAAATTTACTCTATTGCATTAATAGATAATATAATTTTATTTCGGCATTTATGTGTATCTTGTGTAAGGCGATTTCGACGTGGCCTGTACAGGACATACATAGATTTCGAAACTGTCGTGATAATATAAAGTTTGAGGTCGATAGGCTGAAGAGGTTGGTAGGGCCGATAGACATGAGGCTGATGCCTACGGGGCTTAAGATTTGCTTTGCCTACTATTTCTTCTCGTAAGCAGAACTAAAGTTCGAAACATTCTCTTAAATTACAGGATACTAAAAACGCTGATAGTAGGATGACATATAACTGAAATAATTAGCTCGAGAAATACAACTAAATGCAGATGGAATAACACCAAATGATATGTGAAGCGGCACAGTCCTAGATAGCTCTCCATGTCTAGTTTATGTAACTTTGTACTATATACTGATTATGGTGCTAGGACTTGTAGAGCCCGTTTCCTGCTTACTTCCGGGCATCCGGATTGTTATTACCCCGTTAACTTAATAATAAATAAGAGTGAAATCAACTTTGTCTATCGCTAACAGTGTGGAACTCGCACAAAGTTCAGAGCTTCAATCAGCCGAAGTAGCTACACTCCTGTGCACTTCTATGCGCGAAATTTTTTTGTGTCGGCACTGTTTTACTTGAAGTGCCTTACAGATAGCGCAGGACGTGAATTATCGAAGGACAGGATTCGTAACACATTTGAGCAGGTCGACGTTATATTATAATAATGCTGTTAATGTTAGACGCCAGCTGTTTCGGGTGTATGGCGAAATGAATTCGGATGTTCATTTAAGTGCTCATGTCTCCTTTAAAATAACCCCGGATGGAGCAAAAAAGAACGCTTTTGCTAGTTATCTGTGTTCAGGGATCAGACTATTTAGCGACCCGATCAATTGTGTAGTGACTGAAGATTTTCATTATCGTTTGTCACTATTTTACTAATTACCTATGTGAGATGTAGACGTCTGACTGATACAGACTTTATAATCTAGATGCAACTATGATCACTGCCAGTATAAGTAATAATACTAGACGTAAAAAAGAATTTATACTTCTGTAACGTGACAGATGCTAGAACAGATCGATCAACTGATTGATAACGAGCTGATCGCTTTTAGTCGGATCATAACAGCGCGCCGTTACAGAAGCTCTCTGGTACTAGACCATTAATTAGTATATGTCTGTGAAAATTACCAATGAAGGGATTACCTGCCCATTTCATATATTTTGATTCATACGTAAAAGCACCAAATCGCTCCATACCATTTTTAATATCATCAATATGGGAATTTAACAATGAAAAAAAATAAACAACGATTAGCAATCAGTCGACCAAGATTTCCCTCTTATTATTTATGACTTCAATAAGTGATATATGGCTCGTTTTTGCATCGAAGCAAATGGGTCGGAACACACGCTACCGGGCTTAAATGCTGTTATTATATGAGACGTTAGCAATGCCAACTGACGCGACAGTTATAAAATTAAAAATTAATAACATGGAAAGACTTTTCAAATTACCGCATCCAGTATATTTCTACCACTCCAATGAAACTAATATATTGGCTGTAAATTATAGGGTGACCAAAAAACAGGTATTTATAAACAGGTATTGATATTAACACACGCCTCTACGTCGAAGCGAAGTCATATGTGCAGCGCTGCAAGTAACGTCTGTCTTCTGCATCAATACTAAGTAGAAATAAAATCATAGAAGAGACCTAATGAATAGTCTTCATAACTTAGTAAACTAATAAGTTGATAAGATTAGTATGTTATCTTTCGTTCGCTTTTTGTCCAAAAATCGTTTACCCGGCTTTGGCATACATAATCAGCAGTAGGTAGATATAGATAGTTAATCGGCTCTGAGAAAAACGTGGTAATCATTATATAATCAATCATCAATCGAGCTAATATAGATTAATTAGACCTAACGATTTGTTCTGTAATTCTGTGGTGATTCAGCGTTTACTTACCAAGTTGGGTGACATGTGTGGAGGTCTGGGTTTAGAACCAGCTGTTTATCCTGCGATGGTCGCTAATTATCTCAAGCAATATCTAGCGGCACTGCAGAAAATAAGAACCGGAACATTTGTTTAGACTTGTGACTGTGGACGTACGTTTGAAACATCCTGTACATTACCACTGAAAACTTTTGCTGTTTAAAGATTCGATGCGTCTAACATAGCAGGAACTGGCCTGCAGAAGCCATTATTCTGCATAGGCGTTACAAATATGTCCAAGATATTCCAAAATTAGTTGGGCCTGGAAAAAAAGGCCACTCTCTTAGAAACATTGCTGTGTTGTCTTTTTAGTCTAGTTAGTTTAAATCACAATCATCAAATCAGATATTTCGCATGTAAAGTTGTGGGCATATCGTTGTTTATATAAACTTTGAAAATATCCGCACATTTAATCCTTCCTTAATGTTTTTTTCATCTTGAAATCACTTGTATTTCTCTAACTTTGATAAGGAACAAGATATATGCAAGACCGCCCAAATAGGTGCTTCTGTGGTTTACCGTTTGGGGTTACGCTATGGGTCTTCTTAGTTACAGTGCGTTTCTCTTTCTGGGCGATGGCGAACCGGATACCGCGCTATATTTAACTTCGTGTCTTTATTTCATACATTCGTAATAATTATAATGCCTATAATATATGTCGACGAGAAGGGGAAGTGATGCCTCTTGTGACTAGCGACCGTATCAGGTCAAAATACACTAATACACCTTTTCGTCGAGTTTTTACAAAACATTGATTTTTTGAACCGGAATCGAACGTGGCCTCGAAGTCAGCGAATATAGGGTAGAATGTAGGGTTTTTTTTGTATTCTTTATGCCGTTGAAGCTGATTTGCCTAGACTGCATCGATGCTGTACCTCGCGTAACTCTTTGCAACCTTCTCAGTAAGAAAATGCCCGTTGCACTAACAAGCCGAATAAGGGTTTATAAACACGGTTTCTCTTGATGATCTCTCTTCATGATTTGCGGTTCGTTGGGTCTTCCTTTTATTTGGGACGACTAATGTTAAACACTTTCTCCGAGATCCGGAGATTTTTCCTTCTCTTAAGCATGTGCTGGACACGGTTGTCCAGCTGTGCCCAAGCAAGGATGCCTCTTATGGTAGGTGTAGATTCCGCGGGAGCTATCATACCTTATGCGCAGGTAGTTAAAAAGTATATGAATTAATTTGGAAACAGGAAGTTCTTTTCCGAACCTGCGGTTTATTCGAGGCTATGGGCAAGTCAGACTGATGCAAAGTGAAGTGTATTATGTGATTAGAGATAACACAAGTATTGATAAGTCCAGTTGAAGCTAATCACGCCAAGAACGCTTCGGATGCCAGAAAAATTGATTGTGGACTATTTTGGTTTACCGGTGCTAGACACTTTTATGTCATTTTTCTGTAGCAGGAATGTGGGTCAAAATATCGATTAAGGCTTCAATTTTCGAGGCACCAAAAAGCTTCTCCTTTAAGTTGAGCGTGTACAAATGCTACAAATCGAACGATAATACAACACAACAGGGCAGCTTAATCAGTTCAACATAATGCAGACTCATAGTCAGTTAAGGCTTTTAGGCTGCGTTCAGATGCTGAGCATTTAGCATATACTAGTTTTTGCCTATAGGGTGCAAGGTAAGATTTAAGTTTAATTTAAATAAACACTACACACGCCTACATGGGGCAAAAGTCGTAATGTTTGTTCGTGTTAGCATGTAAACAGAAGGGCAGCTTATTTTTAGATATCTGCATCTCTAGATCGATTTTTTCACTACCAGAGACACTTTGACATAGGTAGAGCATAACCATGCTTAAGTAGGAGTAGATAACCTGAAATGACATATGGAAAGCCCTATCACAAATGATGACATCATAGACAGCTTAGACCTTTAATTGCTTTTCAGGTTAATGTGTCAACAATATGAACATGAATTAAACTATAGCTTTCTACAGTTCACTCTGCCTAAAAGTACCATTTTATATAGCATAGATAAAATTGCAGACGTTTTGATTGTTTTATTAATTGTTTGATTTTAAAATGGGTTCAATTAATGCTTCAGCAGATGCAATGCTGGTGTATCTACCCGGCACTTGTTAACACCTGCAATGGGGGTCGAGCCATCTTTTTTCGCTGGGGTCAATGGCGCTCTTGTAGATTCATTACCTATAACGTTAACGATTATATTTTCGTTGATCTCTCGTTATAGCTGTAGGTTTACTTGCAGGATCTGTATTTGCAAGTTTATCTATTTGGTTTGACAAGTTGCGCGTAATCGGCTTTTCGTTGCAACAGGGAATTTCGTCGAGTGGGTCGTCATCGGCACTTTGATCACCCGTACCTGGGTCTTCAACTGATTCGGACGATTCTTCTGTGAACAGTCAGAATGAATAGGTACGATATTAATAAAAGCTATAACACACTATTGTCCAACAACTATTGCAGTTTTTTGGTGGATTCTACATCAAGCCTTTCTTTGTAAGATACACAATGCTAAATATATCATTTGAGAAGATCATTAGCGCCATCATCGTTCGTTGGAATTATTCTTCTGTCAATTTAAAACCTATCTAGATTCCAGGTGTAAAGTATGGTAGAAAAACTGCCAGACATGTTCTTAGCACCGGCTTAACTGGTTGGCATCAATGCTTGGCTGGATCTAAAGTAAGTCGATATCCTACTGTCACCGCATTTTTACTTATTTTAGCCTGATTTCTGCTATGTTCTCTAAAGAGATTTTTTTAAATTTATGGAAAAGTAACATTTTACATCAGAAAATGTTGGGCTATTAAAACTAATAGATTCAGCAAGCGATGCTGAATCTATTAGTGCATAGAATGCATAACATTCAAAATGCCGCGCTTTGGGTCCTGGGGATCAGGAGCCTGGACCGCGTCATCAATAAACATTTCGAGAAGACTAAGAATTAGTAAGCACACCTTGTGACATAGCTTATGATTAAGTCTATTATCCGGAGACCGAACACAGGAAGTTTGGGCCAGCCCTGATCTAACTAACCCATAACCCAACTACGAATGTGCGTGTTTTTCACTAGCCTCTAAAGGGGCTGTACGGGGTCGCGAAGATAAACAAGTAGGTAGACTAGCGCGTGAGGACACTAAAATCAAACGAGACTGTATTTCCTATAGCTAAATTAACCTTTGTGACAACGACATCACACTAGTTTTCGTTCAGAGCCGTAAATTGCACGGGACTAGCTGGACCGAACGGTCAAATGATGTTGTGCGTCGCTGAGGCTAAAAACAGAAAATGAAATTACGTCAGTTAATTTATTACCGATCGGAAAAACACAACAGTCTAGGTTTAACGCGACTGATACGACTTTCAGCGACGTCAGATCGTTTTACCTGCCAGAAGCTCATCGCCTCTTGCCATGCGGTTCTGGGTTCAAAGTTTGAAACGTATCTATTTGCTTAAACCATTTTTTGGTTCCGGAAAATTGGTGTCATTTGTTCTGATTCAAAAGCTTGTCAGAAAATAGCGGGAAGCCACCGGCGCTAGCGAGCCTGACGGTTGGCAAATTAACGTTACCAAACTAGCAAATGCTTTATGGTTTTCGATACGAAACAACACTCTATCTATACACACTATCTATATTTATGTGCAGACCATTCATCTTAGCAAGATCTTCAAAAAGGAGTTTAACCTTACTGAATGTTTTCTTCTTGACGACGTTGATCGCCCAGTTTGCCTATGCCCTATATGGAAAGTGCCAGTTTCGATCCACGATGTGCCCTTTATGAAACCAGAATAGCTATAAAGATCAAATGCAGTCAATGTAATGAAAAAGAGGTTTGTATATGTACAAGAATAGCATTATCTTGTTTTTTACTAAATTGTTTTTTGTTTCATTAAAATGATCAAGTCGCCTTTAGATCATATGGCAAACCTGCCTGTGGGGAAAGCTCGACAAGAACAACGGTCGTTCTTCCATATCGCGTTAATTTCTACAATTATATTTCCTGTGCTCTTTGTCACGTCTTTTCAGTTTGTTACACAGGGTTCAAAGTAGATTATGTTAGAAATAAGGTGACGACCCTGTTATATACAGTACTCACAACAGCCAAAGTCAGGTAGGCATGCCTGGTAGGTAATAGGTAGCCATGAATAATACTATATCTGATTTTACATGTAGCTTTCTGCATTGGATATGTCTTAGCCATATGAATTTCTAACGGTTTGTAGAGAGTTTAGCTTTCACTTTCTAATTTCACTTTGAGACGTAGTTCTAAGGAATGAATTTCTATTATCCAAAATCCTTTCACAACACCCCATACTAGGCAGCTTTTCCCTAATTCCTCCAGCTATTTCCGCTACAGACAAAGGTAGGCGTTAATCGACACGTGCACCACAGTAGTACCCTATAGCAGTTTTCGATTCGAAGATGCTGTGCCGCAAATCGAGTGGAATCGGGAAAACCGGTCTGAGTTTCGGATCGTTATAGCAACGACGCCGGCCAGGGATGGGATGTGAATTGTCGCTTTTTCAACGGCACCTAAATCGAAGACTGCCAATGAAGTGGGCGCGAGTGAAAGCGCTCGACATTTGGAGGACAAACGGTAAAATGGCATTTATGACTCCAGTACTGGGGCCGCGATTAGTAACCTACTCCCCAGCCGGAAAAAGCCTCCCGTTCTGCTCACGGGCACCGTTAGAACACACGTCGATGACATCGCTATAGTCAGCTTTCAGAGGTGGGTAGATAGACATAATGGCTTAACCAAACACACTAACAGTCAAACAGACGCATTGTCTCCTCATATTATCCGATGTCTTTTCCCCGCTTTAGTACGAACATCGCCGTCTGATGGAGCAAGTGCCGAACCAATCGCCCGGAATAGGGGTAGTTTTCGAGCCAGATCGCTTCTGTTCCATTGTCACAAATCGTCAGCAATAGCAACGGCGACATCAGTGCGGATTGATCGCGCTCCTTCGTGCTTTATAAGAGGGATGGGACGGGAAGGGGTCAGTGTGGGAACAAGATGGGTGTCCAAATGACCGACAAATCGCGTCATAGAAACTCCCGTTGGCGGCTCTCTGCCAAGCATATGCCTATATATGCACACAGTGGTGCCAACAGAATAAAGTCCGCATCAATGTATGTTTGAAAAGGAAAAGAACGTAAAGGAGGAGTATCGAGAGTAACGGTACTAGATACCGCAGCTTTGAGCGTGAACCGAATCTGGCAAGTAATCCGAAATGAGTCGTCATTTGATATGTTCCCCATATCAGCGATAACCTGCCCTCGCTTCAATGCCACCTCATTGCTGTTGAAGTAGTAAAGTGATTACTGCTTTTGCGTAGAATAATGAGTCAATAGATGATGCGGAGCCGGGGTAAATCTCAACTACTACTGAAATGGGACCAGATGAAACGGATTGAGTTTGGTGAAGAAATTATTCGAAATAGGTGCGCGCCTTTACACTTGCAGTAATAGCAGCGAGCAGACTACTTCTCTCGAACGAATGTTACCCCGTAATGTTTACAGAGCGCCACTATTGAATATTTAAATAATGATTGAACAATTTTTTTTGCTAATAGTGTGTGATTTTTAGCAGTCTGTTTTATCATCAGAGTAAAGAAAATAACCAAATGTGAATTCTTTGTGTTTTTGCAGCTGACACATTGGAATCCGTTATTTTAAAGTAAAGTAAAGTAAAGTAAAGTAACGGCAAAGTTTTTGAGGAATAAGTTACTAATTAGGTTGCTATAACTTAAAGTACTGACAAGAAGCGTTTAATTACTGGAAAATTTTCTTCAAACTTTGATTAATTTTACCTAGAATCACGTAATTCCTGAACACGCTGCATAATACAAGCTAGCCTTACGATTAAGCACGCCCGAAACTGGAACTTCTAAGTCTGTGACCGTGGATGCGTGGATTATTACGACAGAACTCACTATACTGACCATCTAGAATTCAGGCACACTGCTTTGCGGAACGCTCGACGACTAGGAGGTCTCGAGTGACACGCAATGATAAGAACAAAATCATAGCTACGTAGCCAAATGCGGAATGAACCATCTTCCTATTTGAAGCTGGCTACTTGTGTGTGTATATGCGTGAGTGCATCGCTTTCACGTTTGCGTCCGTTCTCATCTCACGACTTGTTGTGTATTATATTTTGATCCGAAGTTCGCAGGGGCGGCTGAGAAGGCGATGGCATTTCTGTTCCATCGCTCAGACACAACTACTATCAGAGCCAAATCCCGATGGAGCTGGAGATGATGTAGGGACGGCTGGATGATAGCATTGCTTTACTCAACTGGCTGGACATGAGTTTGTTGACACAACGAGAATGAGTGTCGGCGACGGAATCAACGTCGGACGCTTTGCCTCTATTTCTCTCAGATAACTACTGAACATTGAACAAGTTGCCGCTAATGCTTTGGTTACTGAACGTTGAAATTCGCTGTGGCGTAAAGCAACAGCTTAAGCAGTACGAGCGGCCAGTGTCGAATCAAATCTCTAAGCTGACTGGGTATATCGGGCTGGATACGAGCGTGATCGACTGAAGCTGTTCAACTTTGTTGATGCTCGCTTCTAGTAAAGCTCTCACCGTAACCGCGAGCAATTGCTACCGAAAATCTGCTTCGTCATAGAATATTATACCTCACCTGATGATGCTACTGATCGGCAGAACTGTTGGTGGTCCAAAGTCCAAATGATGTTGGTTTGCCACCCTCGTTCGGCCATGCTTGTGTACTTCTTCGAGTGAAGTAACAGTGTTTCAGGACTTTTGTTAATCATCACTGCAGCAGGCGGAAGGCAAGCGGGATCTTCGGTTAGGATTTTTCTCTGTTTAGTTACATGTAGCTAGCCAGATCTATTTTCATGCTTAATTTCATCAACTTTTTATAAAAAAAAAAAAGAACACAGTATAGCGCATAGTTAAAAAAAAAACACATAGTGAAGAAGTAGAAAGTTGCCTATTCAACTTAGCTAGAATAGTCGAATAAAGATGATGGCTATTTGCTTTTTGTAATTTTTCCTAGTTCACTTAAATACGTGGCCAGTTAAATAATAACTATAACAGAAAATTAAACAGCGCTTAGTGTCTAGAGTACAATGCTAACTCTTGTTAGACATAAGTTCGCCGGTTCTTCTAAAAGGTATCATCTATACAAAGTTACCATTGTAATTCGAAGGAAAAGGACAACTATAACAAAGATCTCTTCCATAGTATGCAAAAAAAAAATACTACGAAAATCAGTAAGCACAACTAATTAGGGCGTAATCGGTCGCATCACCCTTTTCTATCCGACACCATCCTGCACTGAATGTTCCTGCATAAGGAAGTCTGGTCGGCAGGTTCTAGCAGGTTGGCAATATGCAAAGATGTTAACAAAAAGGAAACGTATCTAGTTGCCGTTTTTTTGGGGCATCATTTATATTGAGCTAGCAAAACGTCCATTTTGCTGGTGCCAACAACACTCTACAATGACGACAGCCTGACCGACTGCAATAGTGCCATGGTTTCTCCTACATACCTTGAACTAGAAGCAATGGTTTCAACTTGCAAAGTAACGAAATCCATCTGGCGGCAGAGATTGCTCAGGAAGCGCCCCTCGACCACCGCTGAAATCGCACTCTCTGCCCGCTAAGATAAATCGACAAAAAAAAAATAAGGTAATTCGGACACAGCTTCTTTCCACGTTATCACTTTCCATCTCGAGGAAAGGCTCACTTACGGTGAAACAACCTGATCTGATCTGATCGGTCTGATCTGCTCAGAGTCTGCCCAATATAGGATAGAGGAAGCTAACAATCCAATAGAATAACATATACATATCTATGTAGCGACCCATCGAACTCATTTCACTTGGCGACTACTTTTCTAAAGAGTAGTCGCCAATATGACTTTATACGTAATGCTGCCTACTTACCTCTGGAGCCGCACACACACACGCGCGCACGCCCACCCACGCCCACACAGATAGACACACGCACACACACAGAGAGAGACACCACACACACACAGAGACATGCACACACACACCGACACAGATAGACACTCACAGAGAGACACACACACAGACACAAACCGACACAGATAGATACACACAGAGAGACACACACACAGATACACACACACACAGACACGCACCCACAGACACACTCTCAGAGAGACACACCCACACACACCGGCTGTGCTGCTGCTACATTCATCATTCGGCTGATCGAATCTTCGATATATGAATTGTTATTGTTTACGATTGCCTATTTCGTACACAAATACACCCGCTCGACAGCCATAATGATACTTAGTACAAGGTTCGACAACAATAACTTTGCGCCATTATAAGAAATGCCCGACCGTTTAATGTATACCGAGGACGGACGTGGAGTACCTAGCGTACGCTAAGTGTTTTCATCTATGTATTGTATTGTCATGAGCCCATAGTGACAGAGGGACACTTTTGCCAATTCTCACAGTATAGAATGACTAATACATACGTGTTAGTTCTATCTGTGTTTGATAAATGTGGGAACATCAGAAAGTTTTAGTTTATACTATATCCGTGTGCTAGCGTAATATAACCAACGCAGATTACTTTGCACAGAGTCGCAGATATGCATCGCGTAGGAGCCTCTGCAGGGAACGTTCTTTCCAGACAAATTACTGCCCTGGCGACACCATTCGCTTATCAACTGATCTTGTTACTTTCTTCTAACAGAACCTCCTATCTCGTTCGATTGTTTCTATCTTCCCTTCTACAGAGTAGCACTAGGACAGACATAGGCTTGATTGTGTGGGCCCAGTTTCAAGATGACACAAAGCTAGCAAACGGAGACAGATAAGAAATTGATGTATTTAAACTAAATCATAATCTGCTATCTTGCCTAGCTTGTTTTTAATTTCGCCGTATCGTGTATTTTACTATGGCTTCATGAGTTGTCCCACCTTGCGGGTCAGAGTTCCATCGAGGAATCATCAGCTTTTTTCGACCTTGCCATTTCCTTTCCCATCTTAGGTCTTTCAGTGTAAAGTAGGCAACAACAATCACGGCAGTAGTAACATTTTTCAGGTAAGATTTTTTTAAAGTTGCGCTTTTTGCAGGCGCAGACGTCTGCTGGCTACCGACTATTTGATGCTCGCGGTACTCTACAACGTCCTAATGACTTCTCGGTCGAAGATCGGAAAAACACCAAAATTGTATTTTCGGCTGAGACGGTTTCAGCATTCGACTAATCGCAGTTGGCATCAGACACTTATCTCATTGGCCGCTCTCTCGCTTTCTTTTACTTTCTACACGCGGCAGTAGTAGTAACAGATCAGCATCACGGACGCAGTTGGACACGACCAATCGACGATGAGTTCAACCAGAATTGTAACGGCGTGTAAGATCAACGGATAGACATCGCCGCGTATCAGCCTCTTCGGCCGGCCATATCGGCCATCAACCCATCAGCACGACGACGACGACGACGACAACAACAACAGGCTCTAAGCAAATGTCTGTTTCGAATGGAAACGTACCAATGTCAATGCAAACAGCCAGCCTTATCCGTACACGGTCTTATACGTAAACACATACACAAATCTATATATTCACCCGCCCCAAAGAACACCACAGACAGTCATAGATAAAGATACGAGTGTGCCCATAGAGGAACATCTGAATGAGATATCAGAGCAAGAACGACTGCTTAGAGCCACAGTGATTAGCTGGAGAGATAGCATCAAGGTAAATGAGACATGCAGAGTAAAAGCGAAATACTGCATCGAGAGACCTAGATCAATGACCAAGATGAGTTCCCCTGGACGAATATACGAATAATATAACGCATAAGGAGCCATCGACGAATCCCCTTCCGCACTGATTGCTATGTATGTTTGTACGAAAACTAGATGGCGTTGCGATCACGGAAGGGTCGGCGATCATCAAACGCAGGTACGCTTTGTTTGGTTTTATAAGGACTGCAGGGATCGTATTATGGAGAGGAAGTAAAACTAACGTATACAATGGACAGCGACAAAACTGTGGAGCTGTTACGCGGGTGTCGTCGTTGCTCCTGTTCGCATTTGACTCCCGAGACCTCTGTTACATATCTGCCCAGATATATAGCCTAAAATAACAGCCTAAAAAAACAGATACTGATCTGGTAGGATTGACACATTGGACAACCTGGCCTGTCATCAAAAATGTGGTCCAATGAGAAACTAGGTATAATTGCTCGCGGCACCGAGCCAGAGTCAGCTACGGGACGAACTGGTTTCAAGGGCTCGTTCACTTCTACGATGAAGTTTACAAAATTCTGTCCTGAATACGCACTTACATGGCCATGGGCCGTCAAGCCCTTTGCTGTTTGTCATTCTCCAGACAGCATATGTCTACATGTTAGTTCGACGCATCGTGTCATCGACCCACCAACAGCCGGTTTAGCGCTAAGGACCAGTGCGTATTCGAGTACAGCCATCGACCGGTCTAAGCTATTTGCAAGCTCTGAGGGCAGACTCCGCGGTGCCACTATTCGAGAGAAACTTGATGGTACTAGCTACGTTTGAGTCGATGCTTAGTGTCATCACCAACAGCAATGGCGTTAACTATGAGCCAACAGAATAAACTAGCAGTTGAAAATTAGGTGGAACTGGCCCCAGCGGAGTGCTCTTTTTTCCAGGATTTCTTCGTGTAGCTTTGGAACATGCAGATTTCGGGTGGCCGCGGAAAGTCTCGCGGAAGTGCTCCTTTGAGAACTAAGCCGAGTAGGTATTGAGGATAGATAGGGTAGAAGAATCTGTTCGCTGGACAGTAGCGGCAGCGATCGCGGCGACGGCGGTCATCTAAACGATCCGCTAAATGGTGATGTTCACCCGCGAGTTGGGCACTCAGTCGCGGAACGACACTTTGAAATACGCCGATACGTCTAGACGAAATTCTCGTAGATGTCATAGTTCTGCAACCCTCTAAAACAGTTACGCATACGACAATGAACTATAGTTTTCCTAATAATGACTAAAGAACAGCCTGTGTATACATATTCTGTCAATCACTGTCTTCCCGACTAGGCAAAAGCAAACGATCATCTTCACTATCTACGTGCGTATCGAACAGTTTAGAGAATCGGCAGGCAAGGAAACGAGGGCAAAGGAGAAAATTGTTTGATGAAGCAACATGCACATACAAGGTGCCCCTATCACAGGGGATGAAAATACACCGCTTCCCATGCCCATACTTCCATGACAGATTTATAGCGCCTGAGTGATAGTGGATAGGTTGGTTTATTGAAATTATCATCTATAGTACTCTCAGCCATAGCGGAGAGTATAATTTTATTATGCTCGTTATTCTCACAGCACCAAACCCATAGAACTATGCTCGAGGAATATCAAAACAAATCGTCATTTAAGCGTATCAGACAATGCTAGCACCATAAGCACCAGTAGAACCCATATGTCGTCAGACGAAGTAACAACACTTTGCCATTAGACCTAAATAATCGCTCATAACAGCCATCAAAGATGGCGTCTCACCTAAAAAGCTACACCTGCATAGGTCTGTTGTATGCTCGTACTCGTTTTTACTGGGGGAACAGAAGTTTCTTATGCACGTATCGTGATCTTAGCGGAGAACGTTTGCTCGATCAATTGCGATCGATATGTGTTTTATCGCTGACTTTGAGAGCTTCTGGTCAAAAACAGATAACGTTAGAAATTTTCGGCAAAATATATGTGAACTTGTCCATGTCCGTGGAACCTTAGGCAACAGTTAAGCGAACAGTATACTGATTATTAAATAGCTAGTTCTGATGCTCGTCTCTTCAAGCCACATGGCCAAATGAAAGGGCAAAAATATAGCAGAAATTTTTTTTAGTGTCTGACAACAGTTTCAGGTAAGGCTATCCTGCTATAGAACTAAATCACATATTTCCCGTTAAAAATAACTTGCCTATTCTAAAGAACCGATGAAGACTTTTACACAAAGAGTCACTATATCCTCTAGTGTGATTCATGATCTATTTATATTTATAAAATCAAATTTCATGAATTTAATTATTCCCTATCTAAATAATGAATTATCGTGCTTATAAGCACCCTCTTCCAACTACGCTAAATATAACCAACTACTCACTGAGTCTCTAACAAATCAATTAGATGAACCATCCCACTGTCGTCTTTCATTTTTTATTAGCTTTTTTTTTTTTTTTTTTTTTTTATAAAAAAAACTCTGTACCACTCCTGTTTGTAGGAAACAGAGGCATGTGAATTTTTTTATGGGTACATCTACCGCAGCTTTAGTCGATCGCTATATCAATGCCAGTATTGATGCGCGCGCTCTTCAACTCTATTGGAACTATCTATCTAGATATCTTCATTTTATTCAGCGCACCTCATAGAATTAGGGAGACCAATATGTTTAGCATGCGTCCATCTTTCAGGGATAGAATTTCAAAATACATATAGTTATTCTTTCTGTGAACATCGACTCTCGCTTTATAAGCACCAAATGCAGGTAATTTATGACGCCATGCTAAAGCTATTGTAATGCCAGTTGAGGGAACGGTCTGAAATCCGATGGGGGTACACCTCAGATGTAAATTTCAACAGCGAGAGAATGATAAAATTTACTGAAATGATAACATCAACATT